GTAACCTTAAAGTTGATACAAGAACCAACACAATCACTTCTTCCCATCGGCAGGCAGGAAACCCCATTTTATACAGAGATGTGGCAGGGGAGGCCAGCTGTGCCATTGGGCTAGACGCTGTGGCGGTGTCCTCCCCCCGTGTCTCTGACTCCCCCTCCTTTGACCTCTTTCAAGTGATAACCACCTGTGGCCGTGGTGATAGGTGCATCTGGTCCATAAGGATGCACCCACTGGATGTGGGGGGAGACAGATAACAATACAATAGCCAAGGGCTACTGTGGAATGTGCTCACCCAAGCACAGTGGTCAGTATGCAAATATGACTATGAGCCAATCATCTTACCCCCATCAACAGTGAGCAGTCCAAGAGCCGTCTGAGCTCTCCTGCACAGCAGCAGGCTGCACGCCAGGATCTCCCCTTGAGCAGGGACGCCTCTCAAGGTCACTCCTTGAGGTTGAGAGATTCCTTACCACAACAGATTCTCGGTAAGTGACTAACAGCATGCTACCTTGGAAATCTTAGCTAAGTGACATAAAGGATTAATTGCGCATATGTAATCCTTTAGACATAAACCGTTGACCAAGTCTGGGACTAGGATTGGATCCAGTCGCACCTAGACCCCTCTCTGAGGGAGTTTAGAAAGCCAGGGGATCTTTTCTGAACCTCATGGCTCAACGGGAGGGCCTCTCTGACAGTTTTGTCTGACCCTGTCCTCTGTGCAGTAAATAACAAAATGTACCTTGCCATCGAATCTCATAAACTATTGTTGCAGTTACCACTGAACTGTGTTAACTCACTGTTTTACACCAATAAACTGTATTATTTTTGCCTCCCTATCACTCCACCCGTGACAGACACATGTGCAAGACCTCTGGGTCAGACAGACCGGGTTCATGCCTCTGGAGATGTGGAGTGCATACAGTCATTCCTGGGGAAACAGAACTATCACAGATAAAAGTCCCAAAGCAAAAGACATTCCTCAGATCCATTGGAAATCACTTGTGAAGAGACATCAGCAGTTTATTCCCGATGAAAGACACTGATCAAATCAACTTCTTGAGTGCATCTTTAAGCTCCTGGTTCCTGATACTGTAGATGAGAGGGTTCACTGCTGGAGGAACCACCGAATAAAGAACAGAAACAACCAGATCCAGGGATGGGGAGGAGAGGGAGGGGGGATGCAGGTAGGCAAACATGGAAGTGATGATAAACAGGGAGACCACTGCCAGGTGAGGGAGGCACGTGGAAAAGGCTTTGTGCCGTCCCTGCTGAGAGGGGATCCTCAGCACAGCCCTGAAGATCTGCACATAGGACAGCACAATGAAAACAAAACAGCCAAAGTTTACAAAGACACTAACAACAAGAAGGCCAACTTCCCTGAGGTAGGCATCTGAGCAGGAGAGCTTGAGGATCTGGGGGATTTCACAGAAGAACTGATTCAAAGCATTGCCCTTGCAGATCGGTATGGAAAATGTATTGGCAGAGTGCAGGAGAGAATTGAGAAAAGCAGTGCCCCAGGCAGCTGCTGTCATGTGGACACAATTTCTGCTGCCCAGGAGGGTCGCATAGTGCAGGGGTTTGCAGATGGCAACGTAGCGGTCATAGGCCATGACGGTGAGAAGATAATACTCTGCTACTACTAAGAAGGCAAACATAAATAGCTGGGCAGCACATCCTACATAGGAGATGCCTCTGGTTTCCCAGAGGGAATTGGCGATAGATTTGGGGATGGTGGTAGAGATGGAGCCCAGGTCGACAACGGAGAGGGTGAGGAAGTACATGGGGGTGTGGAGGCGGTGGTCGCAGGCTATGGCGGTGATGATGAGGCTGTTTCCCAGGAGGGCAGCCAGGTAGATGCCCAGGAAGAGCCAGAAATGCAAGAGCTGCAGCTCACGTGTGCCTGTGAATGCCATGAGGAGAAACTGGGTGGTGGAGCTACTGTTGGATATTTGCTGTCTCCACGCAAGGGGTCCTGTTCTCAGAGGAAGAGACAACAAAGAGTTAGGGGAGAGGTCTCTGAGGAAAATCAAAGCCTTTCTCCTAGACATTCACCCTGCTACACCCACTCCCGCCCCCAATTTCCTTTCCAGGAGACCTTCCTTCAGCTCCGTTGCTGCAGCTCTGGTTTGTGCTGGCCGAGTGTGCCATGAGGAGCAGGGGCCTCTGCCCACTGTCTGCTGAGGAGTCAGGCCTGCTCTGCAGCAGTGAGCTCATGGGAATGGTGGGGATAGGAGGCAGTCCTGGTGTTCAATTTCGTAAGATAAAACCGCTCCCAATGCAGAAGGGCCTGTCAGCATCTGCACCTCAAGTGCTAAGGAACAGGGTAAGCAGAAGGCAGTTGGAGAGGTTTGGTGGTTTTAAAGCTCCCCCCATCTTACCTGGGTTGTTTTCTTGCATGTCAGAAACCCTCAGCATTTCTGCTGCACTCAGGGAGCACAGAGCGAGTCTTGTGAGGCCAAAGGATTGCCTGTGGCTTAGTGCAGAGTGAGGGGAGCTGGTCTGTCCCTCCAAATGGTACTGAGCTGCCGTGGGCTTGTTCTTCATGAGATCAAATGTGATAACACTTTTGTGATAACTGTTCTCTGTTACTCTGAAAAACAAGCAGACACATCAGAGAACAAGGGGTTCCAATTCAGACCACTAAGTATCTCACCCTTTCATAATGTCTCAGCACCCTACTTCAAGTCTTATTGTGTTCAGTTTTGGGCCCCTCACTACAAGAAAGATGTTGCATTGCTGGAATATGTCCGGAGGAGAGCCACAAAGCTGGTGAGGGGTCTGGAGCACAAGTCTTATGAGGAGCGGCTGAGGGAACTGGGGATGTTTAGTCTAGAGAAGAGGAGGCTGAGGGGAGACCTGATTGCCCTCTACAACTGCCTGAAAGGAGGCTGTTGTGATGTGGGGGTCGGCCTCTTCTCCCTGCTAACGGACGATAGGACGAGGGGAAATGGTGTGAAGTTGCACCAGGGCAGGTTTAGGTTGGACATTAGGAAAAATTTCTTCACAGAAAGGGTTTTCAGGTTCTGGAATGGGCTGCCCAGGGAGGTGGTCGAGTCCCCATCCCTGGAGGTATTTAAAAGCTGGGCAGACGAGGTGCTTAGGGCCATGGTTTAGTGGTGGGATGGCAGGGTTAGGTTAATGGTTGGACTTGATGATCTTAAAGGTCTTTTCCAACCTAAATGAAGGATACAAATGGTTCTTTTTGCCAACCCAACAGCATTTCCACCATCATAGCATATCTGAGCTTCTCCATGGGGCTCTCAGATAACAGAAAGGTACTATGTGAAAGGTTTTGATCATGGAGGGCAGCTCATAGCGGCTGTATTGCTCACGTTCTCACAGGTTAGAGGAAGGCTGGACACTCATTCCAATGGACATGCCTGCATGGGGGGACCCACACGATCAGTGTGTGACTCTGCATCTGAAACTCCACCTCCCCCGAGAGCCTGGCAGGAAGAATGAAATCATAACAACCATAACACAGACCAGTAGAGGAACAAGCAAATATCCAGTGAGGGTCTGGCTGGGAGAGGCCAGGGCAGAGGCAGGGGGGCCCTCAGGCAGCGTTACCCTCCCCCAGCTCTGCACGCCGCCTCCCAGGCACCACCATTGCCGGGCAGCTGCTCTCAGCCCCTGGGGTCTGCAGAGGGAAGTGGCCACGGGGCTGGAGAGCTGCCCCACGGCTCTGCTGGAGCTCTGGCTGCAGAGGAGCTGGTTCCCACCTTGGAGCTCAGAGCCCTGAGGGCAGAGGCTTTGGTGGCTGGGAGAGGAGGCCAGGGGGCTTGCTCAGAGGAGGGCTCAGCACTGCAGGGGATCACATGGAGCTCTCTGAATTCTCCCTCCCACAGCATTTTTCTGTTTAGTTTGCTCTCACTCCCTGATCATAGCCCTTCTGCCTGGAGATTTTCACCCTGGGAGCTGTTTCCCTGTCCCAGGTCTTTTCGCTGTCAGTGCTCACAGACTTCATCCCAACCTCCATGCACTCACCCTGGAATTACAGAAACCTGCCTGTTTGAACGGTACTGGCTGGGTGCGTGGTCCTCCTTGCAAGTGGAAAAAAATCAGAGTTTAAGAACCGTGATGTGTCCAGCAGAGGTGATGCTGGTGCTGGCCATAGGAAGAAGAGTGGCTGAAGGCACTTTGCCAGGCTCTCTTCAGTCATAATAATCACTCAAAGCTGCAGTTCAGGAGTCTCAGTGACTTGCTAAAATTTCAGAGTTCTTTTCAATTTGTCCTTTTACTTGTCCCACCCTACCCTCTGGAAAAGGAAATGGAAAGGAGGATTCAGGAAAGATTTTTATCTTTATAGTAAAACCTGCCTTGATCTTCTCCTTCATAAATCCCCTTGGAAATTTCCTGGGGGTGATGTGGAGCTGTGAGCAGCCTGACCTGCACAGAACCCTCTCAACAGCAGAAGGACCCTGCCTTGCTGAGGGTCACTCCTTCCACCCACAGCTTCTCCCTGCAGTGCCCTGGGGAGTGCCCCGGGCAGGCTGAGTGCTGACCCTGGCAGGCCCCCAGCACACAGCCCCCCACGGTGCAGGGACCCTGCTGGGAAGGACAGCCCTGGGCACCCCTGCCTGCACACCCACCTTCACAGCCTGCAGCCCTCCCTGGGAGAAGCCAGCCGTCATGCCCTGTCCCTATGACGGTGCAGCAGGGAGTCCCTGCTCTGCAGCACGTCCTCTTCCTCTGCACCAGAGAAAGTCTGAGGATTGTACTTAGAGATTCTCTAACCTGTGGAGTGCACCAGCTTCAGGAGATGCTACCAGGATCTGCAAATGCCGTTTCTGCAGCCACAAATTTACTCTCTGTCAAGATTTCTCTCCCCGTGAGCTCTTGGCATCCTCCCACCCCACACTGCCTGTAACTTCTCTCTGCCTCTCTCCTCTCCCCTCGGTGCCTGCAGGCAGTGCCCTCAGCCCTGCTGCACTTTGCAGAGGAGCTGCTCCTGGGCAGAGCTGTCTCTCTGCAACGCTGCCCACTCGCCATGAGCTCCCTCCATCCCAGGAGCCCAGCCAAGCTCAGCAGCAGAGGACCAGCCCAAAGCCCCCTCCCACCAGGTGTCCCTGGGGCTCCAGGGCATCCTAAGGTGATGTAGGCTGAAGTCATCCCCGATGTTCCCTCCCTCAGCTGGGGGAGAGACACTTCTTCCCAGCACTGTAATTTCTCCTATGAGGACATTTGGGCATGAGAATCACCTGTCCTTATCCTACTATTAGACAGCAAACCTAGACAGATACGTGGGAGGGATATCCTTCACCCATTCAGAGTCAAGTGAGGAACCTCATATTGGGTGTGTAGTCCTGGTTCTGAAAGGAGACTCAGCTCCCTCCATGCCTGCCACAAACCCACAGGAGGTGGGATTCCTCTGGCCACAGTTCGGCTGTGCAAATACAGACACCTGCATGTGAGCTCTTTGTCTCAGCTCCCATCCTCATCAATGGAGAGGGGTGCTAGGAGGGACATGCAAATGTCTGGTGACATCTGAGGTGCCAGAGGTGGTCAAGGACAGTGCAGGGAGCTATAGCCTGGAACGGAGAACTTCACAGCAATAGGGCAGCACCTGGGGGCATCCTCTTGGAGGCTGTTGAGAATTCCCCTGGGCCCAATGCAATGACAGTTGATGTCCAAATGAAGGGCAGATGAACTCATGATGGTCAGGGCAGCTCATAGAGTTATTCAGCTGAACAGTTGCAGTCAGGTGCCACAGGGAGAGCTCAGGTTCTCTCTTATCCTTCTGCTGGATTTACTAGATCTGCACTGACCACATTGCCAGTTGCCTCATGTTCATCCCCACACCGACTTACAGAATTCAGGATATCTGCTCCATTTCCTGTTCACTTCCAGGCTCAGGGAGCTCCAGGCGATGCCCGGGCTTGCAGGAACAGCAGAGAACCTCCAGGAAAGCAATGCCCATTCAGGGCGGTGTGTGACAGACACCCCAGACGGCATCGCAGGGAGTGCAATTGGCCGCCTGTGTGCCATTGGCTGTTGCCATCAGTGAGAGGCATCAGTCATCAGATGCCATGAGAGGGGCAAGGTCTGTCTCTCCTCTACCCAACCCCTGCAGGCATTGCGTGAATACAAAACACATCACAGTGGGGTCTTTAGTCACAGCCATGGTGGGACATCCAAGGACCAGACCAATCATTTTCACCATGTGCCTGGAAACATCTTGTTTTCAAGGAGAGCATCCTGCAGGCACAGCAATGATTCTTAGAAAAAACTCAACTGGATGGATGGGAATCAAGCCGCCCCAACCCCTTACCAGTCCATGGAACTGGAGAGGTACATCCAAGAGTACTGGTCAGCAAGGTGAGCTCATGTGGATGATTGAGCACAGCCACCCCCAGCAGTGGGCATTCCCCATCTGCCAGGCTGAGGAATGCACTCAAGATGGAAACATCTGTATCATCCCTGACTTGCACAGGAGGGGCCTTCCTTCCTGCTGTTGTTGTAGGACAAACCTTTTCCTAATGCTCCTTCACATCCAGACTTCAACTGTTTTTCATGGGTGCGATTAGTCGTGGCCATCAGCCACCCTCTTCTTTCGCACTGAAATCCCCCAACCCTCTCTCCCAGACCTACACATGGCCAATCACTGATGCTCAAGGCCACTCACTCTTTAGAAGAGGCCTTGAGCTTCCTGGAGCTTCCTGGTGGTTATTACAATCCTCCCCACTGCCTCCAGAGCTCATGGTGACCTTTCCAGGCAATAACAGGGCCTTCATGACCATTGCTTATGACACAGTTGGCTTTTTATGATCTTCTCTGAAGAAAGAGCAGTCACAGAAATGCACCAACTACACCAAAATGGATGGTGAGTCAAGTGCTGGTAAGAACCAGGTGAGCGACCCCCATGGCTGTGGCTCATCTTTGGACACAAAGAGTGCAAGACCACCCTTCATCTGAATCTCTTCAGAGATGGACTTGTGAATTGGGTATCATGCTGTGTATTGCCAACACGGGTTCCATTGCAATGTAGTACTAAGGGTTGACCTTACCCAAGTAAGATCTCCATCCACTGCTGGATTTCTGGGCTTCTGTCTCCTAGGCATGTGGAACTGGGAGACCTTGATGGGGAAGACAAAGGCCGAGAGCTCCTCATACCTATCTACACCTACACATAGTGATTTCATCAGTAGCCACGCATTATCTTCATTTCTTCTTTAACTCTTCCTCAAGCAGTAATGGCTCATTGTGGTGCCCTTGAACTCCCTCTCAAGTGTCAGCTCTGCAGGAGTTTTGGCTTTTTTCAACCCCAAAAATATTTCTGTTTCATCTTTTGTTTTAATCCCAGCGTCCACCTCTTGTGTGCTTCCTTTTTTCTTTGGAGCTTCCCCATGAGTTTCCTGATTCCCCAACCTTCTCTCCCTATAGCTCTGCTTCTTTTCCTGACTATTCCTATGCACAGTCTTGTACTTGAAAGACGCTGTCCTCGAAGACCAACTGTATGGAGTTCTGCTGCCCTTCTGTGCTGCTCACATGGACACCGCCCCCAACTAGAAGTCGCAAGACCAGTCCAAAGCCTGCTCCTCTGAGGTCTAGCATCTGCACTCTTCTATTCTCCTTCCCTTCGGGAGGTGAGACCCCACTATTTCATGGTCATGACAGCCAAGGCTGACACTGGCTTTCATATTGTCCTGGTTTCAGCTGGGATAGAGTTAATTTTCTTCATAGTAGCTAGCATAGTGCTGTGTTTTGGATTTAGTACCAGAAGAATGTTGATAACACACTGATGTTTTCAGCTGTTGCCAAGTAGTGCTCAGACTACTCAAGGACTTTTTGAGCTTCTCCTGCTTGCCCAGGTGCATAACAAGCTGGGAGTACAGCACAGCTAGCACAGCTAACCCAAACTGACCAAAGAGCTATTCCATACCATATAACGTCATGCTCGGGGGGGGTTAGTTCGTTCGGTCGGTTCGTTCCATTCGGTCAGTCGCGGGCAGTGTGGTCGCAGCTCGAGCTGTGTGATCGCGGCTCGGGGGGAGTGATCGCGGCTCGGGACGGGCTGGGCACCGGTCAGTGGGTGGTGAGCAATTGCATTGTGCATCACTTGTTTTATATATATTCTGTATATTCTCTTACTATTATTATTA